AATTATCAAATAATCAAAAGTAATAAGGATTCTCTGTATTCTGTTAACATTTTATATTTTAGTAACATTTATGATCTCAAGATTGGCTGATTTATGTTACTTAACATTGGTTATTTATCACTATCAAAACTAAACAACAAAGACAAATGTTTATGATATTGACAAAGCTCAAGCATTAAATATTAGACAATAAACTTTGTTCTACATATTAACTTCCTCTAGTTTCAAATTAAGTATCAAATTTAGCTCCAAATGATACTGAAGATTTAGTTAGGGACCTTTACGAGCATGAGTAATTCATGCACTCATTCATTTTCTTACTCCATACATTCAAATTTAATTGTAACACTGAATGTTTTGAAAGGAGAAGAGGAAGGAGAAAAAAGAGGAAGATAGGGAGGAGAACACATTTTTATCAAGAATGAGTAAAATAAAAGCATGTATAATGATGTTATAATACTTACTTTCCCTTCATCTCTTGGACTATCATTTAAATGTTCAACTGGACCTGGATGAGTTTTGGTGGACCTGTTAAATTAATTCAAAGCAGCAATTAAAAACTAAACATTAAATTAACTTGTTATTAGAGACTGAAGTAAAGAAATTCAGGAGTTAAGCTCAAATTTGTACAATTTTTGGTTTTATTTATGCACTACTTTGCTTCCCTCTATTAGCGCTAAATGAGATGCAATTTTTTTAAAAAATCAGGTTTAAGAACAAATTTCTGCATAAAAATCAGATTTGTCATTATTTGTTGTGTATATGAACATCTGAAAATTTGAAATTGACTTAAATTACAACCACAAAATTGATGCAGTGAACTTGTTTCAACTGAATTTGAAAGTACATACCTGATTTAATTTGCTTATGACAATGAAATCTCTGATTTTACTCCCAAACAAAAGTACAGTGGGACCTTTAATTTAAAACGAAGTTCATTCTAGTGATTGCCATCTTCCAGAAAACTGATAAGCTGGGGAACCCTAATTCATTAGCTATAGTCCATATCATCTGTGGTTATCTCGTGTAATGAACAACACAATTGTAAGACCAACAATGTATTCTTAAAGGGACCTTGTGGATCTGATCTTATTCTACTCTGATATCTGGCATATATTTTTCATAATACCTAGTTTAACTTTTTCATGTGTCTATATTATGGTTAATTATGAAATAACCTGATATGATCAGAGATTTATTAGCGCTCAGTTTCTCCTAGTCTTTTTAAATAAAAGTAATCGTGCCAGGTTAAACTCACCTAGTATTCACTTTCTTTGTGGTTAGTTTTCTTGTTTGTTTTTCAGACAGGATCTTGCTATGAACTTGCTAGCCTTAAACTCACTGATATAACCCCACCTGGCCTGTAATTTATGGTAATCTTGTGCTTCAGCCTCCAAAGTGCAGGGCTTACAGGCGTGTGCTATCACACCTGACTAGTTTATTTTGATGCACACATTATCTAGTTTTAGTTTATTTTTAAATACACATGAAAATCATGAAAGAGTCAGCACAAAGCAATGAAGAATATTTGAATCTTTAAAAACTACTTAAAATTAGATAAAAGTGAAAATTTAAGTAATTTTAGGCTCCCCGATACTAAATTCTCAGTGACCCAGAAAAAATAAATACAGATTAGATATTAATAGTGGATTTATTCTATATTTTCTCATCTAAAAACAAAGTATTAGCCTCCATTCAGTAAGCCTGATCTTACTGAATAACTGTGCAGATTAGAAATTATACTTATATAATATCTAATATAATGGCAAAACATTAACCCATTTATTAATAGTATGTTTTATGATTTTTCTGACAATCATTGGGAATTTGTTATTATTTTGCATTCTACGATATAGTCTGGAAAGAAGAGAAACAAACAGGTTTCATACTAGTATTTTGCAGTTTTTTCTAGTGATATGTAAAATACCATTTATAGATATAGTTTCCATAAAGATATAACTACTTCTAATAAAGTATAATGTTTAAGTTACCACTTAGTAGCTAACAAGAGTGAATAAGCAAAAGCACAAAACAAAAGAAAAACCTCTTGTCTCTAGGGTTTGACTGAGCTGCTTTTACCAAAGTGTATTCCATTTTCAACTAGTGGAGATATAAGACATTCCACAGAAAGAGTGACTCATTTCCTTAAAGTTTGGGAAACTCTAAATTAAATAAAGTTAAATATTTTTTCCTACAAAACTTTTTAGAACCAGTACTACGCAAATAGTTATCCCAAATCTTCAATATTTTCCAAGCTTGTTGGTCCACTGAAATATTTTTTCATTTACCATAAGGGAATCACTAAAATATTTTTTTAAGGAATGAAACTATATGCAAGATTCTTCTAGTTGGTTATAAAACCAACTAATTCAGCAGAATAATGTAGGATTATATTTGTTTATCAGAATAAATTTCTGTTATTTATAATGAATTTTTTAAAATATAAAATTATGGATCATGAAATTTCAAAAAATTATTTTAGATAGAAAAATCAATGACAATAAATTCATATAACAGCACCTAAACAATGCTCAGTAATTCTTCTGGACATCACAATTCATTTCTCTTTCTCCCATTCATCATGGCTTAAGCATGCATGAAAATCATGAAAGATTCTGCCCAAAATAATAAAGAATATCTGAATCTTAAATTGATTTGTTGGTCTTTTCATATTGTCCTATCCTAAATGTTAATACCACGTGGTATCCTGTCCTAAACTGCCATCTATTTCTATGTAATATGTGGTCATGAATTTAAAAATCCATGGTAATCACTGAGTTAAAAAGGATAAGAACTGTGACAAACTAGATGGCACATTGCCCACCTACAGAACCAAAATTGTTTCACAGATCCCTGCAAGAATACGGCAGTAGGATAATTTCATTATGAATTCTTTCACTGAAAACTGGGAATCTAATTTTTTTGGCATGAGGGTACCAGGCACTGAACTCAGAACAGTGTGCTTGCCAGGTAGGCGCTGTGCTGCTGAGCTATATCCCTCTTCTCATCTTTAATTACCATCTGAATGTAATGAACCTTTACAGTTCAACACACCTAAAATTGAACACTGCTTTACTTCAAAACTTAAATCTTTGGCTCTCTTTCAGTAACAGGCACTATTTACACAGTTCTTCAAGACAAATACCTCGATACCATCCTTGAATTTTCTCTTTATATTTGTTCCACTTCTTCCTCTATTTTTAAAATAAAACAGCTTAACTCTTCCCCACAAAGTATTATAATTTTTACCCAGAGTATAATTTTTTACTCTCTCTCCAATCATTTCTCCATTCCTGAATAGGATATTTTTAAAATTTAAATTTAATCAAATTACATCTGTCTAAAATCATTTAAAGTCTAGCTTCCTATTGACTTTAATTTTCAAACTACTCTAAGTGGCTTATAAGACCATTTCTATATATCCCCTGATTACAGCCCCAGATATATCTCTTGCCATCTTCTCTTCCAGCCATTCAACCCAACCAAAACTCAAAACATTTCTAGTCATGGAACATAAAATTCTCACCATCTATCTTTTGAACATTTTGGGTTTTTTTCCTGGAAAATTGTCATCTTTGTCCTGATTCTTCACTTTTGTATCTGAAAACTCATCCTTCGGCTCTCAGCATAGATATAATTCCCTTCACAGAGACTTTTCTGAGGTTTATATCAGATGATTTTCTTACGGAATTGCCAAAATATATTTCCCATAATAATTATCTTTCTATTTAATCTTTTTTCTTCAAATAGCAATGTTTGATTAAAAGCAAACCTAACTCTAAGAATTCCAAAATGTCACGATAAAATTTAATCATATGTAGAAAAAAAGGTTACATTTTTAAAAATACTGTATGTACTCCACCAGAAATAACTATTCCTGTGCTATCTCCTATATTTTCTCATAGAAATATTTTTAATGACACTTTAGTACTGCCATTCTATGATATCCTTAGTCATCACTCTTTCAATGCAAAATGTTTCAGGCTCCAAATAACCTATATAAAATTTTAGAAACATGAAAATAAAGATTAAGTGAAAAGCAGCCAAATGAGTACTTAAAATAGGAATAATCAAATATCTTTTAAAGACAATTCTTTCATTTTGCATACCCAGAAAATAGGTTTTAGAATTTGTGGATTAAAATTATATTTATAAAATGCATATTGAAGCATATTTTATTACTGTCCCATACACTTAATACATATTAACAGAAAGTGGAATGTAATTTCTAATGTATTGCAACAGGTAGAAGGCAATTAAGAGGCAATTTTGGGAGACTGAAAGTTGACATTCACAATCTATCATGGAGGAATTACAATTCCAATGAACTCACTTTAGGAAATTTGGTCAAAATAAACCATTGATAATCTCTTAAAAGATATTCCAAAGGCATTGCCAGAGGCTTGAATTCTTATAAATACAGAATTTATAAACAAAATGATGGACACTCTTCTAATACTGGAGAGCGCCCGGCGCCGGGACCAGAGACACCGGCGGAGCTGCCCTAGACGGGCGCACCCACTCCTGTAAGCCCGCCGCCCTCCGCGACCTTCTCTTCCCGGATTGGCAGGCGGCTAGCGGCGGTGAGGCAGGCGCCTAAATCCGGGTCCTTAGACGTTCGTCCGGGACGCAGCGCTCGCCGTCCAGCCGCGCTTCCCTCACACCTGCTGGCATGCGTGTGGGCGCCCGTGCAGGGTCTGTAGGGGCCCGTGGGCGCGCGTGTGTGTGCGCTCGGCCCGGAGCGCGGCGGTCTGCTGAGGGTGCTTGTGTGCTCGCGCGTTGGGTGCTCGGCCCCGGGGAGCGACGGCGGGAGCCTGACTCCGCGCGCCCGGCCGGCTCAGGCGGGACTTGCGCCGCAGCCGCCACCGCCTCGCGTCCCCTGAGGGCCGCTGTCGTGCTGCGGAGAGCGCCGGGGCGGGCGGGCGGACGCCGCGGGGGCTGCGAGCGGCTGGTTGGCTGGGGTGGGAGGAGGGGGGGGTGGGGGTCTAGAGGCGCGGGCGGGAGGGGCCGGGATGAGGGTGCGGGGCAGCGCGGAGGCGGCCGGCGTCGCCGCTTGTCCCTCCCGTCGGCTGTGGTGCTGTCAGCCGCAGATGTTTTGGGCTCTGACTGTTGGGAATGGGGAGTGGAATAAAAGGCGTCTTTGCCTCCCAAATTTCTTGCCGAGAAAAAAGGCAGGGTTGAAGATGACAGAGGGTTGGGGGGGGGTCGCCTGGAAGATGGTGGCAGAGTAAATTGCAGCAACCCCCCCCCAACAACGTTTTTCTGGAAATAAAAATTATTCTAGCTGAACCTTTAGAAGGAAATCCCGCCTTGAAGAGAGACGCGGAGGGTCTTGTTCTTTTGATTCTGGTTTGATTGTATAATAATGATGATATAATACTAATGACGAGGACGACACTGCCTTTTATTTTGACCCCAGTGCTGTCAAAGCGTAGTTACAGCTGGGGATAAAGCCCTTGAAAATCTGATGTATGAAGAAGGAATACAGTTGCTCTAGGAATGGTCTTTATTTTATGAAGATATGTATTTTAGAATTAAAATTTGACAAAACGAGGCCTTTCTTCTTTTCCACTTTTCAGCCAATGCTCATAAAATGGGGCTGGCTATTGCTGCCTTGAATATGGAAAAATAAATGATTTTACCCGGTATAATTCTATGTAGTTAGTCAACCCTTTCTCTTTTCCTTTGACTTTCTCAACAGTTCTTAAAATGAAGAAGTTGAATTTCCGAAAAGTTTTGGATGGCTTGACTGCCTCCTCACCGGGCAGTGGCAGCAGCAGCGGCAGTAACAGCGGTGGGACTGGTAGTGGTCCCTTGCATCCAGGAGGGACAGCTGGAGTTCTGAGAGAGGAGATTCAGGAAACCTTGACTTCAGAATATTTCCAGATTTGTAAGGTAAATTGTGCATTGCTTGAGGCCTATTATTTCTTCATTATATTTCTGTGGAGAAACAAGGAAATAAAACATCACAGTAAGAATTGTTGAGATGCCAGCATCAAAGATCATTTTATCTCATAAATTTATGAGATACAAAATCTTCAAAATTATAAAAATTAAAAAAGCAAAAAATTAAAAATTTTTAGATATTTAAAATTAAAATTTAAAGTTCTCAAGGTGATTTACTTCAGCAGTGTTCTGGAATACATATTAAATGTTTTTTAAAGGTAAAGCAAAATAGCATATGAAATTTATAAATGAGATGTAAGGCTTAGAACACCTTCTTACATAATAAAATTAAACTTACAATGCATTAAATGAGACTAAATGCTAACACAGGGAAAGTACATTAAAATAAATGTAATCATGCTAAAATTGATGAATATTTAGTCAAAAACAACAAAATTATGCAATTTGAGTGAATTTCATTGAATTAGAGTTTTTAAAATATTAGCTTATTTAATATGATGTAAAATGTTAAGTGGTACATGAAACAAACTACGTGGTATGGTTTATAGCTTTTGCTAAGACTTGCTGAAATTAAATGGTAAGCTTTAGGTGTTTGTGTCTAGAGATTTATGCTCATGGTTGGGATTTCTGTCATTACAAAAGTGTTTGAGGGCCATTCTTATATCTTTTCAACCACTTTGTTCCTACTTTGTGGGAGATGCCACAGAAGGCTGCTGACAAGTGCCTACACCTTGACCGTAGCCTTCACAGCCTGTGAACCCATATGCTGAAACATGTCTGTTAAGTTTAATCTACCACGTCTCAAGTATTCCATTCTACTAGTCCAAAATGAAATCAGATAGCCATTAAAAACAACAGAAGTGTTAAAAATGTGAGCAGTTTTCCTAGGCTAAAACAATGCTTTAATACCATTAATATATTTAATTTGATGCAATTTATTAATAGTATGTAGAATAAGCCATATAAATACATAAACCATCAAAAGAGGATATACGGTACATAGTTAATAATTACTCCATAAAATACATGAATAGTTTCAAATAAATCTAAGTTATTTCAAGATAGGAAAGTAAATTAATTATAATTGGAAGAGGGGAACTTATGGTCAGAAAATTGAAAGTTAAAAAATTATACTTCCAAAATATAGTGGCTTTTGATGTAGACCCATTTCGAGATTAAAAGAAAAGGAATTTAATATGGCAAAAATACAAATTTCTTGTGGTGAGATACAGTAGTGCCTTGGTTTACAATCTATTTGTTTCACAATTTTGGGGAAAATAACTGTGGTTGCATGGGTATAACCACGGAAGTAAAACTTGTGTGTGGAAACAAAGTTTGCTAAATGTTTTGTTTGCAAACCAAATTGTTTGCAAACAGAAGAATTCATATACTGAGGTATTATTTTATTTAAAAATCCATTCTCAGCAATTTCTAAGTATGTGTTAAATCATCAATAGTCACCATTTTTTAAAATAAATATACAGAACTTAACATTCTACCTAAATGAAGTTTGTGATTTTTCATTAACAGCCCTTTTTCGATTAACCACGAACCCCCACTTCCTGTGCATCAGCCTTTGTTAAATATCATTCTACCCTTATGAGATCATGTAGCATTTTTCTTTGCCTAATTTCACTTAACAAGTGAAAGTTCTTCTATATATTATAAATGACAGAATACTTTCTTGTGTAAGACTGAAAAGCATTCAGTCACACACAAGCACACCCACACACACAGCACTTATGAATGATATTTTCATTATCCATTTTTCTATCAGTGAACATCTAAGTGCATTTCATGTCTTGAGTATTTTGAAGAATTCTGTAATCCATAGGAGAATACAGATCACACTTTCACATAACAGTTTAAATTTCTAGTCACGTACCAAATAATAAAATTATTGGATCATATAGCAGGTCTAGTTTTATTTTTTTGAGAAACTTCCACCATGTGTTCGATATCAGTTTACATTCCTTATAACAGTGTGCAAGATGTTACTCTTCTTCACCTCTTTCGAACACTTCTTATCCTTGGTATTCTTGATAACAGTCATGCTGACATTTATGAATCAGTATCTCCTTGTGTCTTCAATTTGTACTTTTCTGATGATTAATGACATTGAGCATTTTTCACAAAACTGATAGATTTTTTTTATGTTGTCAATTGAGAATATTATGACTTCATTTAATCATTTTATTCACATTATTTTTGTTTGGTTGGTTATTGAGCTGAAGTATTTTCTAGTTTTGGATGTTAAACTCTAATCACATGTATGCTTTTTGCCCACTTCATATTTTGTTTACTCTAAATAAACTGCTTAGTTTTATTTTTGGTGCTTTAAATTTTTTAGTCTAACAATGAGTGTCTAAACTACGGATTATATGCTTTCTAGGAGACATACAGCTAAACAGTTCCCTATCATACAGTGACCTATAACTACAGCTTTCCATAGTATTCACAAACTTTTTCCTCAAATTTCTAAAAATTTTACATTTTCAGACCTTTAAAACTTCATTTAAAATTTATTTTTATTTATTGCATAAGGAAAACACATAATTTCATTGCTTTGTAGATATCTACTACTCCGGGCATCAGAGGTAGCCATTCTTTTATGCGCTCTTGGAAATGTGCAAGGAGCAACTGTTTAAAAAAGCATAGATGTATTTCTGAGCTCCATATTCTGTTCAGTTAGCCTGTATTCTTGTTTTTATGCTAGTCAGTTTTTATTATAATAGCTTTAAAGTATACCTAGCATCAGTGTGATGCTTCTAGACACATACTTTTTGCTCATAATCAGTTTGGCTATTCCAGATTTTTCATGGAATTATGTACAATTCAAATTATATGTTATAGACCTACGTTGAATATCATTAGAATTTAAATAGTGATTGCAGGGTCTCTGAAGAGTCCCAGATGGGTAAACATGGCCATGTTACCAATATTGAGTTTTCAATGCATAAACGCAGGACATCTTCCCATTTCTTTGTTTATTCACCAATTTTTTTTTAACAGTGTTTTATATTTTCAAGTAAAAAGAGCTTCAAGCTCCTTGGGTAAACATATTCTTGAGTATATATTTTCAGTTATTCTATATTGGATTATTTTCTTGATTTCTTTTTTGAATAGCTAGCATATAAAAAATGCTACTTATTTTTGTATCCTGCAACTTTATAGAATTTATTTATGAGATCAGAAGTGCTGGGATATTTTTAGGCAAAAAATAGTATTTACATTATAGTGTCTTTAACATTTTTCTTACCTCCTTTGCATGTTTGTTTTATTGGGTCCTATTAGTTATACATGGTGGGAAGTTTTGACATATTTATTCATGTGTGTAACCTACACTTAGCAAGCTCTCTCCCTCATGGATTCCCTGTTCCTCTCTTGATCCCCTCCCTGATTTTTTCCTGTAATAGCTTCCTTTATGCTTTCATATAAGCTTGTGTTTCCTTTCTAATTTTTTATTTTTTAGATTTTACATATGAAAGAAAACTTGAAAATTTGACTTTCTGAGTTTTGCTTATTTTACTTTATATAATTATCCCAGGTTCAGTTTGTTTTTAGAGATGACATTTTACTCTTCTTTATACCTCATTAATATCATTTTGTAACTATGCCATATTTTCTTTACTTATCCCTCAGTGGACATTTAAGCTGCTTTTATGATTAAAATATATTTGCAAGAAGCCCTGAAATGTTACTTAGTCACTCGCATTGGTATTCCTCCAGACTTCATGGTACACTCAATGCCGCAGAATTGATTCAGGTGTAAGTTCAAAGACTGAGGTCAAGAGTATTGTCATGTAGACCTTCATGCTTCCACTCCCGCAGGTGCTGCCATGATAAGCATGCTTGGTTCTGTGCTGCAGAGGAAATGCCAGCCTCATCTTCCTACTTCTGGCTTCCTTTCTCAACCATCATATTGCAATATATTCTAATTGCTTTTCATTTAAGGAAACAAAATGCTGGGTAGAAGCATCAGTTGATAAAACCAGTATTTAATTTACAACAACATTGTACTTTGGGCAAAAGGAACACAGATGTGACTGACTACTTGGGGACCTGGCAGAGTAAAGCTTTTTAATTGTTATTCACAACTCTTATACTCTGAAAATGGATTTTTATAATTCGTTTTAAAATACAACAGTTATCAATCTATGACAAAATGTCTGTCTTCTGGAGACTAAAATTGTCTCAATAGCTGTTGTCTTGTTCAGCTTTTAACTCTCATTATTCTATTTACTAAAGACAAGATGACCACTTTCTGACATTGATACAAAATACTGACAGTACAAGTTGAATGCTAGTGAATAACACAGCTGAGGGATAAAAAACATAGAAGATCACTGGCAAATGCCACTTACTCTCTATTGATTGATCAAATGCATGTGTTCATTGTGATTATATTGTGCATCCACACAGACAGTTGCATGTCCTATCTAAGATAAACCTTCCAGCATGAAAGGAGAGTTTCAAATGTGGAAATAGCTAAGTAATACTTACAGTTCCTCTTCCATTGTGCTAGAAAAACACTGCTCCATTTCTAAGCTGCAATGGTAATGAGCAACGTAATTATTCTTTATTCATTTCATTAAGATGCCCTAATTATCCTGCAGTCCCCAAAAGGAATTTCTTCTAGATTTCAGAAAAAAAAAATTTCTCTTTGGGAAATTCATTCATTCATTCTGTCTCTCTGTGTGTCTCTCTCTCTGTTTCTCTCTCCATCCATCCCTCTCTCTATCTTTCTCTTAGAGATAGGGTTTCCCTATGAAGCCTAGGCATGCCTTGAATTCATGATGTTTACAGGCATGTTAGGAATTATATTGACTATGAAAATTCCACTTATTTTCCAAATATTTAATTAAATTTTTGTCTACCAGTCAATATTGGAGCGTTTGTTCCATGAAAATCATAATGAAGAAACTTAAGACCATGTATTCCATATTTATGATCTTAAAAAATAGACTAAAACATGCATGTGTACATTC